GCCCTCCGGAAGTCCATGGTTGCGGTTTTGCTGGCCCCCCTCCTTACTTCACCAAGAATGGAGAATTCTATCATTTCATGGTCGCTAAGCCCAAGATGGCCTCCGACCACCACATCTCCCACCAGTCCTTCTCTGTTTGTAGACAGCAGGTTGAGCGAGGCACCTCCCCTGGTAGGCTCACTTACCAGCTGTGTCAGGAAGTTGTCTTCCACACACTCCAGGAACCTCCTAGACTGTTTCCTCTCTGCTGTGTTGTATTTCCAGCAGACGTCCGGGAAGTTAAAGTCCCCCATGGGCTAGCGGGCTAGCGATTGAGAGACTTCTGCCAGCTGCTTGTAGAATCGCCTCTTCATCCTGGTTGGGTGGTCTATAACAGACTCCCAGCAGGATATCTGCCTCGTTGGCCTTCCCCCTCATCCTTACCCATAAACACTCAACCGTATCATCATCACAATCGTTGAGCTCTAGACAATCTGTCTTCTGAGGAAAGGGCTCCTGAGCAGAGGCTGAGTCCCAGAAAGCATCTGGTGGTTAAACCGAGGCAGAGGTGCTGGCGTGAGGCTCTGCATTTTCTGAAGTGCAGGTTGGTTTTAGAGACCGATGCCTTTGGAGGGTCTCTCTGTGCCATGGGAAGGGGCCAGGAAAGGCCATCAAGCCCCTCTGATGGTTGCCCAGAAAATAAGATACTTGGAAGTCAAGCCCTTCTAGGGCCTAAATCATGAGAGACGTCATTTGGTGGGCTGCAGTATGCTCAGGAGCTTTGCCCAACCTCCCCTAGGATGGGCGAGTCTAATCAGGCACTGATGGTTTTCTCCAGGAGAAGATGATGATGACGATGAATGTGGGGAGGAGAAGCTGCCCTCCTGCTTCGACTATGTGATGCACTTTCTGACCGTCTTCTGGAAGGTCCTTTTTGCCTTCGTGCCCCCAACAGACTACTGGAATGGCTGGGCTTGCTTCGTCGTCTCTATCCTCATGATCGGCCTCCTGACAGCTTTCATTGGCGACCTGGCATCCCACTTCGGCTGCACCATCGGCTTGAAGGACTCGGTCACCGCGGTCGTGTTTGTCGCGCTGGGGACATCAGTGCCAGGTAAGGACAACAGCAGGGTTTGTTGTGAAGGTCCATCTCTGCCCAGTCTGGGTTTGGGTTTGGGCTGGGAAAGCTGGGCACAGTGAGGTCCTTGGCTGTGCTCTGCAGGACCCCCAAGGACAGATTTGAGGTATATGTGGAAGTTGTTTTTCAGTCTCAGATGGGCTGGGAGGATCGAACCAGAATGTGGATTCAGTCCCCTGGAAATTATTTCAAGGATCTTCCCCTTGCAAAGACTGTGAAGTATCTATTTCTATGGACAGCCTCCATGGCATCCACTCTCGGAATAGGAAATTGGTCTTTGATTAAAATGCTGCCTGTGTTGGCAGTCCTGCATTTTCTTTCTGAGCATCTGCTCCTTTAACCTTGCCTCTCAGGTGAGTGAGGTGCTAGTCCGTACTCAGGGTGCTCTGCCCAGCACAGACACCTTTGTGTAAGACCAGGTTCAGCTTTGGTTCAGATGGATCGAGGTGAGGTTGCTGAGCTGGGGGAGCTACTCAAAATGTGACTTGTGAAGCCCCTAGAAGGCCCCGGCCCCACAAATGTTTGGAGATGTGTCTCTGATCAAGTGGTCACCCAGCCTCAGAAGACAGCAGAGACTGAGGACTGACCAGGGAGAGAAAAACACACGAGTTTCCATACCTACATGCCACTTTGTCCTCCCAATGCACATTGACTTGCTGCAACCCAGTCTCCTTTTCTGCTGGCTCAGCAAAGGGCCCCTCTTAGGGGTGAACCAGTGCACTGGAGGGGATGGTACCTGTGACATGGTTGCTCTGGGAAGTCCCATGTCAGCTTGTGTGAGAGGGCCTGTGCCTTTCACTCACCTTCTTCCATGGGCTGTGCTGGCCAGGCACAGCCTGGTTACTGGACAAGGGGCTCTACCAACCCAACCACCCCCCGTGTCAGTCACACCTTCCCTCGCCACCCCCAGCCTTCCAACGATCAGCACTTGGGTGCTCAAAGATCCTTAAATTGTCCTAATACTATCAGAGTCCAAAAAAGAAGCAGCAGAACCAAAAGGAAGAACAGATTTTGGCAAGGAACAGAAGAAGGAGCATTTTTTAGACCTCTGGCACTTTTAGGTGTGAGGTTTGCAGGGCTGTCTCACACCCTTGACAGCAAAAATCTTCCCTCCTGCTTTTATCAACAAAAGGTGGCATTTAAATTCTTTTTAGGATACATTTGGCTACTCTTGTTTGAACTAGCAGATGCTCCCAGACCATGTCATGTTAGCTGGGTGCTAGCTGGGCTCCTCCACACCAGAGAGATGCAGGGTGCTTTCCAGGAGGCGGACAGGCATCAGACGAACATGCAGTGAAATCAAGACTGACAGGGACTTTCCCTGCATTAAAAGCACTGCTCAAGCTTGCTTGTTGTTTCCACACTCTGGCTGGCGCTGGCTGTGTGCCCCAGATGTGCCCCATCCCTCCTCCCGCAGTGGCAGCTGCAGCACTGCAAAGGCATCAGAACTGTCCCACAACCCCATTACTGCACCATGACCAAGGCCAAGAACAAGGGGAAATGCCTTTTCCTTCCCTCAGCATTGAGATGGGCGCTTTTTTAAAAAATAAAGCAGCCTTTTGATTTCTTTGCTGCAAATAGCCTCTTTCACCATGCTTACAGGTGCCCAGGCCCTCCTGTTAAATGGAACTGGGTCTTTGTGCCAGGCTACACTTCGCCGTCTCACCATGGAGCCCCGCTGGGAAACTCTGTACAGAGGAAACTCTGTACAATTAAGAAACATTAAATCTGACCTCACCATTTTCTTTTTCTGAGCCACACTCTGCTGCCTGTACCCAAGGTGATCTGGGAGTGCAGATGTGTTAAGGATTCATCTTCTCATCGTTAGCTGAGAGTGCTCACCTGGACAAAACTCAGATGCTAATCCCCCCTCCTGCTCACCCCCCCTGCAGATCCAGAGTGGGTTTGGATGTAAAATCAGAACTTCCCTATGGTGCAGAGCACCGTCATGCTGGTCTACTCGACACAAGATCTGCCATGTAAAAGGCCAGCCGAGTTTTATCAGAGCTCTTTTGCCACCAGTATTAAAGCTGGTGGAGCATCTGGGCAAGCGTACACCCACCTGCATGGTTTTTCTCCCTAAGAGGTGAAAGATGACCACTTGTTTACCAAAGTGTCAGGGTCTGCACAAGACGCTGGACTTTAGTGAGGCAAAAGGTTTTGGGGAGACATCATTAAAGCAAACACAGAAACACAAATACAAAACTTCAGGGGACCTGAAGGATAGATACAAACCATTGTGGCTCCCACAAAGCTTTTTCAACCTTTTTAGTTCTTTTGCAAGTCAACAAATTAGTGCATGTGGGAGAAGGGGCCAACACAGTCTAGTACTGGGAAGTGTTGTCTCTTGCTTGAAGCACTGTGGGGCATCTGTGGCCATATTGGGGGAAGCCCCATATTTCTGGACATTGAGATTTCCTTCCTGGGCATTTCTGGACCCAGATTGACACTCCAGCTCTGGCCAGATGTGCTCTTCCTTGGGAGTGCCCATAGACGGGGCTGTACCCTGTCCCCTTACCCACTATCTTCATTCCCCAAGTGATGCCATTGACATTTGTCCCCAGGCTGCCTGCTGCAGTCCCTCCTTACCTGGCTGTATCCTGAGGGCTTCTCTCTGCCTTCCCTTCGCAGACACATTTGCCAGCAAAGTAGCAGCAACGCAGGACCAGTACGCAGATGCCTCCATCGGGAACGTCACTGGGAGCAATGCCGTGAACGTTTTCCTGGGCATCGGGGTGGCCTGGTCCATTGCAGCCATCTACCACGCGGCACATGGACAAGCCTTCCAAGTCTCGCCCGGCACCTTGGCCTTCTCCGTCACCCTCTTCACCATTTTTGCTTTTATCAGTGTGGGCGTGCTGCTCTACCGGCGGAGACCCGAGATTGGAGGTGAGCTGGGCGGGCCGCGGACTTCCAAGCTGCTCACATCCTCACTCTTCATCCTCCTCTGGCTCTTGTACATATTCTTCTCATCTCTGGAAGCCTACTGCCACATAAAGGGCTTCTAAAGGGACAATCAGAGGTAGTAAATATATATATATATCTATATGTATCTATATAGAGTGATATATAGGTATAGATATAGATATAATGCTGTGTATAATGAACAGAGAAAGAATAAAAGAGATTTGCCATGTTCACACACCTGCTGACGGAAAGCAGCTTTGGAGCATCCTTTAAACTAGGCAGGACCCCAAAGCCAGCAGGACCCGTCCCCAGGCAGTGGTCCTGGCCAGGAGCCTGGCAGCAGGGCCCTCTCTGCAACTCTACCAACAAGAGCGGCTGATAGCCACCAAGCCCTTTCCCACCTCTCTCTCCCACCCACCGGCCCCCAGGGAGGATGGATGCGAAGGCAACCGGGGCGCGTCAGTACGGGGAAGGCCAGAGTAGCTGGTGAGAAACAGAGCAGTGGGTGAGGGAAGGAGAGGAAAGCGAGGGTCCTGATCTCCGACCACCATCCACCTTCGCCACTTGGGAACATCCCCTCTGGCCCTGTTGGAGAGAAGCAAGAGACCGGACTGAAGACAAGGGGAAATTGGGAGCTTTCTAAGGAAAGAACACAAACCGTTTTCGTCATTGATTTGCAGGGGTTTTTTTGTTTGTTATGGCGCGTGTACAAGTAGCATTTCCCCCGCACATGCCCCTCGCCTTTCCCCCTCCGTGCTTCGGGGATGCGCAGCCGCAACCTCGTGTCTGGTGTCCTAAGCCGAGGCTGCGCAGAGCAGCGGGGGCTTTCCTCCCGCCTCGTCCTCCTCCTCGGGCATGCTGTCGTGGTACTTGTAACATTTGCATGAATGAAATGAACCCTATCTGTATATAGCATCCTATAGCGATAGTCCTTCCAGCCATGTGGGTTGAGCATTGCAGATACAAGTGTTTTCTTTTCACCGGGTTTTATTTATTTTAGTTAGTTTAGTTTTGCCATAGGTTTTTGTTCGTTTGTTTGTCTCCTCTTAGCGGGGGTAAAAGGAGGGAAAGCTGTCCCTGTTTATTGCTCTGCACGTGGGTCCACAAGAAGCAATAACAGTCAGACAGATGTAGGTTTTTCAGGGGAGGAAAACCCACACCCCAGAGACTGCAGGCTCCATCCCCCCATGTGGCCAGCGTCCACCCCACAGCAGCCAGTCCAGGACATGCTGAAGCCGGTGTGAAGGCCTCCACCGTCCACAGGAGGTTTTACACAAGGTCCCAGGGAGCCTGAGTGGGATGAGCAGTGTCTGAGCCCAAGGGGGACAAGCACAGCTGGCTCCCAGCACCTTGCCTGCCTCTGCCTTTATAGTCAGTGGCTGCCTCAAAACCCCTTGGCCCCCTGCTATTCCCTGTGTCCCCAGAGGTCTAGTGACAGCCCCTGTTTCTGAGCATTAAGCCATCAGGATCAGTCCCCAAAGCTGGTCCTTTCCCACAGCCATTTGGAGGCAGGATAAGGGCTGAAGGGCCATAAAAAAATCTCCCACGCCACTGAGCATAACCGGGAAGCATCCCCCAAGGAAAAAGGCCATATTTTGCACTGTCTGAATTTGAAATCAATGGGAAGGATGAGACAGGGAGGTGTAACTGAGCATCAGCCCCTGACTCCAGCAGTGCAGGCTGAGGTAGCGAGCCGAGCCTGGGGAGGTGTGCATGTAGAGCTCCCCTGGGCACAGCACAGGGATGACATTGTGCACTGGTGTTGAGAGATGTCTCCTTACCCTACGCCCTTCATCGGGCTTCCTGGAGTCCCAGCCAGGCAAACACCCAGCCTGCACGTTCACTCGTGAGTTCTTCCCACCCAGCTGAAAACCACACCTGATGCTTGTACCATAACCAATTGGCTGGGGGTATTTGTACTCATTTTGAACAATATCTGTGGAAATTTTAATTAACCTGTTGTAAGATTTTCTCTAGGAGTATGAAGTTGTGGGGTTTTTTTTCTTCTCAAGCCTTTTTTTCACTTTTGATGGGTTTTGGGGGTTTTCTTTTGTTTCTCATTGTTTTGGGGAAAGAATCAAACACAGGTGCAGGTTGTTCAGGTTTATGATTACCTTTATGTACAATTATTTCATTTTCATCTGTTTGGCTTCATTGATTTTTCTTTGCGTGTATTGCCCACCACTATAGACAGTGAGTCCACTAATTGTGATGATCCTTATCAATGGTACACAATGCACAGACAAATAAAGTTTGTAATGATTCCTGATGGATCCAGTAGTGCTCCTGCATATTCTCTATGGAAAACCCTTCCCTCCCCTCCTGTTGTCTCCCCTTACGTTGTACCCATCTCTTCGTTACTCATCGGTTTGCCTTCGTTGTGTTTCTGCCGCTGATGGGGGGGCAATGGTGCCTCCGCACGCCCACTCTTGCCCCATCTCACAGCTTTCCTCCTGCTCCATCTCCATTGTGCGTCGGGCTCTGTGTGCTGTGGTACAGCTGGGGCTCACAGCCTGCCCAGCTCTCAGGGGGATGCAGGAAACCACCCAGGGACAAAGCTGCAGTGCAGCCCTTCTGGGTCCAGGAGCTGCTCCTGTGCTGGGTCCCCTGTCAGTGCTGGCTTGCCCTAGACTCCGGGAGAGCCATGCATATGCCCCCAAGGTACTTAGCAGCTCTTTCTGCTTGTGTCCTTTAGTAATATAGAAGTGCTTCTGCTCTTGTTCCAGCCTTGTGGTGACTTGCACTAGGTTAAGCCACTAGCTAATGATAAGTGGGAATGCAAGAGAAGCATTACCAGGGCACGGTCCATGGATGCAGAAGCTGATCTGAGACACAAGGTCGCAAAGCAAACTGGGAGCTTGGGCTGCTCTGGGCAGCTACCTGCCCATGCCCCAGTCCAGGTGCCGTGGGCCATTTCTGACCCACGTGGCTCGACAGAGCTCAGCCAGCGCTGAGGAGGAGAAAAGTCTCTACATGCCCAGGGGCGTTGCTCCTCCCTGTGTTTCATCCAGCACCTGTTGAGCTGTCCCCAAATAAACCATCCCTGCAATGCTTCTAAGGTCCCGCTCTGACAGCTGAACTCAAACACCAGCTCCAGAGATGGGTCCCAGGCAAGCACTGCCTTCATCTGGTGGGGCTCTCCCTGCTCCTCCCAGTGAGGCACACGTGCCTGGGGTGCACAGCACTGGGGTCCTGCCCATGCCCCTGCCTACGCTCCTGCCCATGTTCCTGCCCATTTGCCGTGCAGCGTCAGGATGGGGCTGCACAGCGGGTCAGACTGGCACAAACAGCAGTGTCTGGCTTTCAAGCTCCAGGCTAGACAACGTGCCACCAAACAAAAAGAGAGAGGGTAGGAGGTAGCTGATTTTGTTGCAGCATGACTGTGTCTGTAGAGGCCCAGAGGCAGTAAAATTCCCATCTGCTGATGTCAGGGGATGTGTGGCAGAGCAGGTAGCTAACGCACCCCAGCAGCCAGAGGATTTAACATGATCTCTGGGCTGCTTTCACGCAAACCTGGCCCTTCCCCACACCCTGTGCTGCTTTTTGCCAGCCGTGCCACCAGCCCCATTCTCCCTGTGGGTGCTCAGCACCCTCCAGGATGAGTGTGGGTCAAGCTTCAACGCTCGTCAAGCCCCAGGCGAACGCAGCCGGTCACATCCATGTGCTTTTCCCAGGCAGTGAATTATGAAAGCGAAGCAGCTCTCCTGACCCAGTAATTACATCTATTGAAAGGTGATGTTGGTATTTTACTCTCATCATTTGCTTCTTCAGAATGAATTGTAGTCACTGAAGTCATTAACAAGTTGAACGGGACTTGTGTAGCAGCTCGGTTTAACAGGCAGTAAATAACTGTTCTCCTCACAGAGCTTTCCAAAGGGAATAATGGAGCATTGCTTGCTTAGGACAAGGCCTAAATCACACAGTAAACACCAGCCTTGTTTATGCAATTATTCTCTGCCAGCCGTGTGCTTTTTGGCATCTTTAATGAGCTTATGCAAAGCGTGACATGTATTCGCCCAGTTGCTCACGGAGGAGCCACGGATGAGCAGCGAGCCTTTTACCTGGCTGCAAACCTTTCCGTGGAAAAGGATGCAGCACAGTGCAAAGGACATTCAGAGACAGACATCCGAGTAACTCAACAGGCCACTGCAAAGCGCCTGGGGACAAAGCGAAGGAGCATACGGAGCAGCGACAGCCCTGAGCTTCTTAGCAAGACCATATCCCCAGCTCTTCAGGGGCCAACGGGAGAGGAGGCAAATCCCAGCCACAACATGAACACACAGAAAAGGTGCAAAAAAGCCAGGGACTCTGCAGGTGCCCGGTGCCAGCAGGAGCTGCAAACCTGCAGCATCTCATGGCTGAGCCTACCCGAACTGCTACTGCCCACCTGCACCTGTGCCAGGGCAGCATGGGAACCGCTCGCTCCAGAGATGCAAATCCCTCATCTCCAAACAACACGCCCACCCATGTGTTACACATTTCCAGGCAGCCTGCGGTGGCTCTGGGGCGAGGGGACATTGCAAGAGTGATTTGTGCATCTTTTTCCCCATTTTCATTGCTTCCTTAAAGGACAAAAGGGAAAAGAGAGGCTTTGAGTCCTTTCTGGTCACGAGTCTGGATGCAGTCTATAAACTCACCGTGCTATTTCTGCTATGGGCAGGGAGGGGAGAACCAGAGCCCATGTGTTATTGTTACAGCTATTTTTAAATGCTTGGTAAGAATCAAGTGTAATGGTATTGGGGGCCATATACATACCTAAGGCAGAGGCTCAGCTGCATTCCTGGAGGGACAGAGCTGGGCATAGCCAGAAAGTGATGGAGAGGGAGAAAAGAGGGAAAACTTAATGCCAGAGGGTGTTATTCCAGGAGAAACCCCTGCATTATTTTTCTGTAGGCTTTGGCACCCGCGCCCATCTGGGGAAGCATGTTTGCAGAGCACTGGGAACCTTTCTGGCCTCTCTGAGCTTGTGATGACTGACCACACACACACGCAGACATGCGCACAGCACAGCTGCAGAAAAGGCTGTTTATCTTGTAAAAAATTGACTTGCGCAGGAAAGCATCCAGAGGCATCTGTATTCTTGCAAAAAGCACCAAAGGACAATAAATACAGTGA